CTGTGCAGAAGCAACCTGCTCAGTTAGCCGTGGTAGTATTGAGACAGAGGGAGGGATGCAAACATGCAAACATTTACAGAGCCATCCTAGATTTAAGTGGAGGTAAGTCAACACCACACACAGTTTTGCTCACTCTATCCTAAAATACGTGGAACCGATTGAACGGAAGTCCCCAGGCTAATTCCTTTGGCAAAACCTCTTTCTTGTTGACAAGACAATTAGGAAAGCATCAGGAAATTTCTTTGAGTTTGCAATTTCTTTTTCCCTCCTGTGAATTTCTTTGCAAGAGGAAATTATCCAGATCAATGCTGTGGGTCAGATCAGATCCTAGAACTTGTACCATTCCAGACAGCTCTGAAGTCTTCTTTGTGTGCCTACTCTATCTTACCCACCAATATCAGTTGTGAATGTGGGAGCTGTACCATGGAGATCCCCAAAATACAGCTGCATGAAAATTTCATTATCGTACTCTATGCCACAGTGTGAATCTATGACACATGCAAGTACGAATCTGCAGAGAGAAAGAGCAGTGTCCACATTTCCCTGTGAATCCCTTAAGACTGTCACACTCGGTGATGTACAGAGCTAAAGTCTTTGACAACGTTGGAGGCAATGGGAGTTTTGCCACTTAACAAGCATTCTGCCATTGGTTTAATGGAGCCAGAAGTCAATCTAAAGTCCTAAATCCTTGTCACCCTTCACACAGCTGATCTTCCTCAGAAAGATGTACCAAACACTTACCATCCTCCCTTTAATTCAGTGCAATAAAACCTAGCTTATCCAGATCTGTGGCTTCTTAGAGATTATCACGGGTTATACAGATACATAAACGTAGTTGCCCATATCTAGAGAATCCTAATTTCATGGGATACTAATAATTGCCCTTATTTAATGTATATTTCAGATAAATGTATTTTAATTTTCCTACTATTTGTTCATAAATATGCCACAACATTTCCAGAATTTAAGAAAGATAAAACTACTTCTGCAAATATCTTTAAGGAGAAATGATTCCCTGAAGATGCTGTGAGCAGAGGTTTTTCACATATCAACCCTTGTCTTTGATTAACCACTTAAAAAGAAAAAAAGGAATAGATTAATTATTGAAAGTAGTCCTGTAGTGCACCTGAGCATGCTGAGTGAAACCTGATTCCCACTGAATCTCAGGGGGAGGGAGGGCTGAGGATGCTCAGCAACTCACAGAATTGGGCTTGCAGGGAGGGAGTCAGAGGTTTCCTTTGTGAAATAGTAGGGACTGAGTGCAGTTTGCCCAAAAGCAAATATATAAAATAAAAATAATTCAGTTCTGGACTTGGAATCAATGCAATTCCCCTTTAGCCTATTAGACTTGCTGAGAAGCCCCTCTCAAGACACGCAGCAGTTTCTTTGACTGCTCAGCCATGTAATAACACTGAAAACAGAGGCACAAGAACTTGCCGTGTCACTCTGTAAGGTCATTATTCACTTGTTAAAAACTGTGGCCGCGCCACAACATTTCAGGCTTTGGGTCTGCCCAAGAGCTGCGTAGTAGCTCCGCTCATTATAGAGGTACTCGTTCCCAAAGCCGGTTCCTGGTGGCAGCAGCATCAGTCCCCAGGCTGACCCTTCCCAGAGCTGTGGGAAGCCTGGCCTGAGCCTGCCTGCACAGTTCCCGACACATCTCGCCCTCCTCCAGCTTGCTGCCTCTCCGGAGACAGCGTGCCTTATGTTTGCCGTTTCATTCTCATTCACCTTGCCTGTCACCTTAAGGCAGCTTTAATTATAACATCGTCGAAGGTTTATTCAACAAGATCTGAAGATTGTGCTTTAATTACAAAAATGAAAACACGCGATTACAACCAAAGTAAGTATAAAACACAATATTTGGCTATAAGTAGCAGGTGAAGCCTTTTTAGATATTTCAGTGTCTCGTATCTAGAAGCTCTTGTTTGTCCCAGCTGGAAGATGTGGTGAGACAAGATTTCTTGTGTTTATCTGTATTTTGGATGACTTTACAGACTACCACCTCCATTTCTGCTCATTTGAAGCTCAGTTTTGGATACAAATTCAAATGTTTTAAGTGGTTGTGTCTTTGGCCAGACACTTTGGGTGATTTGACTTCCCATTCCATTTGTTGAACTATCTGTGGCTTTTGGGAGACACTGGTTTTATAAAGGCCATTTCCCCTTTAGTCCTGCTCAGTCCAACTTCTCAGTGTTCCGGCTCAGCGCAACCATCTGACATGAACTTTTTACTTCACATTTCCCGGAAGAGGCTGAGGCTACTGCCATGTTTTTAGCACAGAATATGCAGCGTATCAGGTTGGAGGAGAATTATGTTAAATTTAGCATACCTGTTAGATCACCACTTTTCTCTGAAAGCCACATTTGACACTTTATTAACATGGGTTCCCATGAGTTCATGTTACTGTTTTCCCTCAAATTTTGCTGTGTTTCTGTGTCACAGGACAGTCACAACTACTTTTCTGGTACTTCTTTTGTCCCTCAAAAAATGCAGTTCGAGAGGCCTCTAACTTAGATTGAAGAAAAAAAAGAAAGGTTACATTGCCTAAAAGCTACTGTTTGAGACACTGAACACTGTGTAAAGGCAGTCTATGCACTTTGCCATAGATATTTTTTATTAATGGAGTGCTTCAAAATGGGGCAAAAACCTACTTAAGACTTTAATAAATCTTGGAAATGATCGGGTATTTCAGAAGTTAAGCTCACCCTCATTACCCTGTAACACTACCTCCTGCGAGGCTACCTGAGACGTATTGTACGATAATTGTGCTCTGGCAGCTGACTCTGGGAAACCAGTGTTAACCTCTCCTGTTCCCCTGATACGTACAGATTATTCCCATTAGAATGGATTGATGAATGAAAAGATCATAGTTAATGGGTATTACTTTAATGCAGAGGGCTAAATCCTATTATCCTGTGCAACAGACAGGGTAAATAGCATTTGTAGAAGGGAGCCCTGCTGGGACAAAGCGAAATGGAGCCCGCTGCTGTGAGGCCCTGCATCTGCCCATTTCCCACCCCAGCCTTGCTCAGCAAAACCTCTCCAATTCTGCAGCTGGTTAATGTGACCAAAGAATAAGAGCATTTGGCTCACAGAGCTTCTTACAGAGCCTGTTCATGGCAATAGGAAAGCTCCCATCGACATTAGTGGCCTTGGTGATGGGCCAGCAGGGAGGAAGGTTGGTCGCGTCATTTGTGCTGTGATCTTGATAGCAGTTTCTGAAGAGGTACCAGTGTGTATTCTCCATGCTCGTGGTAGTTTGATCACATTTCACCCTACCTTCTTCAGATTCGTAAGTACATTAGATGAGTTATGCAGATTACAGTGTGTGCGCTAAGTTATTTGATATATTATTCACCAACAAATATAAGATAAAAAGTATGTCTGCATATAATTACCCACAACTGCTGACTGACTTATAATTAACTTTGAAAAATTGCTGGTTTAGGAGATATTGTAGATTACAATTTTAAATATAAGGAGCCTCAGAATAGCTCTCGCGATCAGTGCAAGTACAAGGTATTCAGTGAAGGATTAATTCCCTAAACTGCTAATCAGCTCTATCTCCTGTCTTATCAAATTGTAAATACATTATGCTGTATTAAAGTATGAGCATGGAGCTAATTAAAGCAGAGACAGCATTTCACATCAGATACTCCCCTCTTGACACAACAAAAATGTTCTAAGGACATACATAACAAGTGTTAACAAATGAAAATAATTCTTTTTAAAGTGATGCTGTGCTCCTACAGCAGCCTTTTGTTTTCATTTCAGAGGAGTTTTTTTTTTTTAAGAAAAAGAAGGAGGGATTAAAACCACACTGTCTTTCTGGAGTAACAAGTTGGGGAAGGCGTTAATTCTATTCAGTCTACAGCTGGAAGCCCACAGGAACCAACCAAGTGATTACAACCAAGGATCTACAAATAGTATCTGGATGACATCCAGCTAAAATTTAGTTCATTTACTAACATTTTTAATAGATTCTGATGTTTAATGCTGCAAAGCAAAATAGGAATTTTTTTAGAAAAAGCAAGAAAGCAAGCCCATCCACACTGTTAAATGAATGCAGTACAACTTGAAATGAAAGATCAGTGAAGCCTAGCCAAGCAAACAGAGGTTCAGAACCGTAATTGAGCATCATTTGCAAAACTGCTTCTTTTAATTGCTTTTTTCTGTTTCAAACTCAAATAAAGCAATGACATTGTAAAGAAGGAAGGAAAGAAAATACTGAAGTTATTAACCTATGAAATAAACATAAAATATACGACAGAATATGTAGCAAGGAGCCTTTCAACCAAAGTTAGTTTTTTAAAAATTCTTTGCATACACCTCAAAGTTATTTTGTGACAATTGAAAGTTTTTACACCCTCAGAACGTATGATGTTATTAATGTTATTCAGCAACAAAAAGCATAGATTTTGTCAAGATCTACACGATACAGTACAATAGGAAAATCATCGGGGGAAGAGAGCTTTTCTGGTTTTCTCCCTTTCCCTTTCCTTTTCCCTTTCCTTTTCCTTTTCCTTTTCCTTTTCCCTTTCCTTTTCCTTTTCCCTTTCCCTTTCCCTTTCCCTTTCCCTTTCCCTTTCCCTTTCCTTTTCTTAACATCTCTACTTAGAGAAAAAATATCTCAGCAGAAAATCAAAGACATTTACCAATAAAATCAATAAACCTTTGCAGACAGTTGGTACTGATAATGTTGAAATAAGGTAGAGTTACAGCCCTGTTTGATAAATATTTGCAGACAGCTGGTACTGATAATGTTGAGATAAGGTAGAGTTACAGCCCTGTTTGATAAATATTTATTATAGGGCTCATATTTTTTTAACAGAAGTGGCTCAGAAAAGGGTGAAGTTTTTGCCCTGCCGGCACTGCATTTTGTACATTCAAAATACACAGAAACTTTATCTGACTTGTTTAATTTAAAAGTGAAACAGTTCCTAAAATTCCAAAACATCCTAGTTCGAACTAAAAGTTCCTTTGTTCACTTCCTCCAGGTTAATCTGTTGGCTTTCGGAGTGATTATTTACAAAGTATTTCGACACACCGCAATGTTAAAGCCAGAAGTTAGTTGTTATGAAAATATAAGGTAAGTTTGCCATTTAATACAAATTCTACCTTTTGTCAGTTTGAATGCAGCTAGAGATGAAAATAACAGTTTAATCTTCTAGAAGATTTGTAGAAAAAGATTTTATTTTTTCCTCTTATCCCTTCATATAGATTTTGAGGCAGATACTGCAATCTTTATTCCCATTGAGCAGTATCTTGTACAGTAAGACGGGGGTTGTGTGAGAGGTGTACAAGGAATATGAGTGGTCTGTATCAAGCAGAGGATAAAGGCTAGTGGCAAGGTTAAAGAAATAATTGTCTTTTTTTTCCTAAGTACTTTGCACAGACTCTATGCAAACCAAACTAGATTTCAAAACTTATGTCTGAATTGGGACCAAAAACATTTACCTTGCAGTAAAGAAGTAATTCAGTGTTAAGAAAATCAAGAGATTCACGTTATTTGTAAAAAGTCTGCAGTAGGACATTGTGCTTCTGTGGTATTGGGGGGATAGGGGGCATTCTATCCAGGATTTTTATTTTGCATGTACCTATGATTTTTCCATCAACTCACTCTCTTTAAAACTGATTTATAGGACCTTGAAAACCGTTTGTGCAGGAAAAGCTGAAGTGTACTACAGGGAACATTGAAAACAACTTACTGTTTGTGTTGCTTAGAAACACTCCTGCAGTTTCAATGTATTGCACTAGATTTATAGTTAGGATTTAGCAATTGTTTGATTGATTACTTTCTCTTATTCCTCACCCTTCATAGCTTCATGTGGTGAGCTGGTTTTAATGAAGCTGAAAATTATTCATTTTCAGAGGAACATTGCTTAAAATGTCTGTTGTTCAAAAGAAGTCCTGCAATGACTGGGCTTAGAATGAATAAGAAAGTAATCAGTGGCTTCATTTCCAAGACAACATGCTGTAATTTGCCGAAGTCTGTGAGCAGGGCTCTACAGCATGTTGAGGAAAAAAAATAAATCAGAGCCAATCAGTTCCTATAATTTTTAAGCATCAATATGCTGATCCAGGAAGTATCTGAGGGTATTTGTGTTCTAAAAACAAAAATTTAGGTTTTTTTAAAGAGAAAGAATGAAAGAAAGTCTAGTTTTACAACTGGCACTGTTTTCTGCAGTGAACATGAGAGGCAGCCTGGGAACCCTTTGATGTGTTGCGCATGTACTGACCTAAGCGCATACTGTACATTTTCCCAGGTTATTTTTTGGAGGAAGCTAAGGGGGAGGAGGAAAAGTGGGGGAATGCTTCATAACAGACATATGTTTTTCCTTGGGGAATTACACTAACAGTAGATTTAAATCAAATCATATGGTGCTGCAGTACACCAGAGAAAACATATCTGAAGATTAAAGAAGCCAGTGTTTCAAGGCACTCCAGTTTTACGCCTTTGCTCTTTGGCAGTGATTATGCAAGCTTATTTATGCCACAGTGCTACAGCACACCCTGAAGAGCAGCCCGTGCATTTGCACTTCTCAGGGCTTTGCAGCTCCAAAAAAACTGCCTTGCCAGCATTCACCATCCAGAGCAGTGGAAGAAGGGAAATAGCAGGTGCCAGCGTGGTGTTCACAGATTTTCCGTTCCTAGATCCTGTGCCCGAGGTGCTCTTGCTCTCCTGTTCCTCCTTGGGGCTACCTGGATCTTCGGTGTCCTCCATGTCGTCCAGGGATCTGTGGTTACTGCGTATCTTTTCACAATCTTCAACGCATTCCAAGGGATGTTCATCTTCATATTTCTCTGTGTGTTGTCCAGGAAGGTGAGTGTCCCATTCCCTGCGAGAAGTTTAGGGAGTCTCGAGTACAAACACAGGCAGGTGCCCAATCCTGAAGGAGAAAGGTGGGAAGAGGGGAAATTTGGCTATTGCCTTCAGTGCAGACAGAACCACTGTCCAATTTTTAGTTTCTCACACGCTTCCTCCCCGTTTTATAACCAATATGTGAAACATGGAAAAATGTTGTGGGCTTTTTTTCAGTTGTAACACTAGTTACTGTACCATTAACCTAATGAAATAATCCAATGTGTGCAATAAAACTCACTTCCAGGCTCTCCGCTTAGCAGCAGGATTCACCCACACTATCCTGAGATAATATTTTCTTCAGTATTCTGTCCTGAGTCAAAAGCAGCTCCACCTTAAAACATCTAGTGAAAGGAGCAGTACAAAATGTGTTTAAAGATATATAGACCTATTAATAAATCTATTTCATATTGGAATTCAATACTTTTATTTCAGATTCAGGAAGAGTATTATAGGTTGTTCAAAAATGTACCCTGCTGTTTTGGCTGCTTGAGATAAATGAAAGAATAACACGCATGAACATCTCAGTGGAAGAAGGGAGCAACCTGGATGACGATGATGTTGTGGATATTACAGAAAAAATGCAATATTGTGAAAGTATTAAATCACCCAGTGAGCAGGAATATCTCTTAACTGAATTACTGACTGGTTTTGTACATACATGTGCATTCTTGTAGAGAATTTATATTATGCTGTGTACAAACATTGTACAAAACAAACTGGATTATTGCAAAACAAATATTAATGAAGACCAGGGAAAGCAGCAAATTTCAAAAGAAGCTCAAGGCTTTTCATGACTTAGGTTTTGTTTCTAATATTAGAAATATCTACAGTTCTTGAAAGCAAGATACCAAAAACCAACTGACACAGCAGATTTTATGAATTGCTTTGCTAGTGGGAACATGTTCACTGTCTTTTTGTAGTAATGAGCTTCTTACATTTTGTTGTATGTGGCCATCTGCAGGGAATGGGTTCTATTAAAGAGTCAATAGATAAAGATCTGCTTCGGCCCAGACTTCTGAAAACATTTATTTTAATTTAAAGTAGATTAAAAAAGGGATTTGTTTAATATTATTCTCTTATCACTCTGAAATATATATTTGTATATTAATCAATTCTTTATTTTTATAGCTTTTAAAGAACTGTTTAGATCTAAAGAGCTGAGGTCAGATCTGATGGTGGGACAGCCATCTTATAAGTGAAAGATTATTTTGTGAATACTTTGAAAAAGATATGGTTCTTGTGTTATTTAATTGCCAAAAAAGACTGAGATCTGCTAAACTGGCACTATGATTTTGGAGGCTGTGGGAAGAAGATGCTTTCACAAGTTTGTCATTTGATAGAGATACTTGGTATCCAGACCTTGTAAAAAGTAAGCTGGTAGAAATCACCAACGCAGAAGAACGCGGATTTAAATTTAAAGTCACGTGCCTCCATACCACAGAAAACTGTAATTACAGTAGCTTTCTCTACTCATAGCATCTTTAAGTCAAGCAGTTGTCTTCCTCTGAGGCTGCTGGTTTTGGAACACTGATTCTGCGTTTAACCTTAGGAGCCTACATAGCCCCGCTGCAATCAAAGGCAGTACTTGAGGCACAAGTTTTGCTGGATCGGGGCATAAACATGATGCATCAGCAGTTCCACATTTGCCATCTTACTTATTTTAAAAGTATACTTTAATTTCACCCTTCTAGCACCTAGCTTATGTGAAGCGCTGAGCAATCCTCAGTCCACGTTGCCTTCTCAGGAAGTGTCTAGGATCTCAGATGAAGCCCAGTACTTTTATCAGGGAAGCGATGTAAATATGTAGTTGTTTATAAATCCCACTGTTGTGTTGTCTGTTAAAATAAAGCACTACACTGAATTTTATTTATATTAAAGGAAACAATTTTTTGGCAATGGCCAAATTTGTTTGGATTTTATCTTTTTTTCCATATACACAAGGTTTTTATTGTATGCACTGCAATAAGACACTTCAAGTATATTCCATATCTCTGACAAAATTTTGGAAACCAAGAGGAGTCTTTATTCTGAAAGAAAATTAAAAAAAAAATCTGTTGGTCCTCTGAATGCAAAATATGTGAATAAACTGAAGTGCTTAGCTTTCAAATCTCAACATTTCCCTTCATTTAAATAAATACAGTGGTAAAAGGTCTCATGGTTATATATTATTTGCCCTGAATTAGTTGCTGTATTTTCTTTGCTATTTTGTATTATGCCGCTTTGTATTTTCTTTGTATATGTTCTTCCAGGATTGGGAAGATGCAGATACGTATTACTTAAAAGAGTATGTTTAGAAGGATATCTAGTAATAAGTAATTTTTTATCTCCTGCAGAAATGTAACCTATAGTAAGTCAGTCCAGACAAAGACGCATCTCTAGTAAATATATAATGAGTTCAGCATGCTCAGTGAGATTGAAAAAGTTCCTTGGAAAGAAAATATATCATAAAGTGTTTAGGTTACAATAGTCTTTCTAATTATCTTTTATAGGAAAACTGTGGTCTCCAGTCTCTGGGTCAGATCTTCACTGCAACTCTGTTTTCCTTGCGTGCAAGGATGAGTTTATATTTTTTAATACAGCCACAAGGAGAAGAAAAGTTTTGTTTAGATTCATTGCTTTAGAGCCTTAAGGATATTGTAATTGTCCTCCCTAATGCATGCAGAAATACTTATAAGAAATAAAAGGGTTTATTTGCCATAACCCTTAGTAACATGAGCCCCAGCCTAGCAGAGTGAGGGGAAGAGACCATAAACATAAACCAAAAAGAGAGAGGTTTCAGCAAGATATGAGGAAAAACCTTTTCACTGTGAGGATAGTCAAACGTTGGAAACAGTTGCCTAGAGAGGTTGTGTTAAAATCTTTGGAGGTTTTTAAGACTGAATAAAGCCCCCAGCAACCTTATCTTGTACCTGACCCTGCTTTGAGCAGGAAGGTGGATGAAATCACCTTCTGAGTCCCTTTCAGCCTGAATTGTTCTATAAGTCTATGATATGAAATATTGTATGAAATACCAAATCATAAAATAACAGTTGGACATTAGCCATAATTTCATTAAGCAAAATAGCACTCAAATGCTGTGCATCAGCTGAACAAACTGTTCTTCTAAAAATAAATTTGAGTGACATAGCAACTGGAAACTAGTTGACTGATTTGAAGAATAAAAACTTTGTTCAGCATCTTTTAAGATTACATGCTTCTGAGAGATATATGATATCTCCAGGTGGGGCCAACAAAAAAAAATTAAATCAATGATTGACGAGATAGATAAAAAGTAAAATTTTAAGGTTTCACTCTGAAAGCAAGTGCTTGCTGAAGAGAGAAATTGTTTCCATTAAACCAATCAAAGACAAATTTGTGTTCAGTGTTGCATTTCAAGGTGTGCTTCAGAATATAATAAATAAGATCTAGATTAAGAAAGACTGGTTTATTCTGAAATAATTATTTCCTCAAAGAATTGGAAGTGTATTTCAAAGAAACCGCAACATTTAGGAGTTAATTATCATCACAGCCTTTGGGAGGCTCAGTCTGCCAGAGCTCTGTTGATGAACAGATCATCTGCACTCTTTGCCTACTGGAATGAAGCAGGTAGGCGTTGAAAACACTATAAACACTGTTCAAATTTATTTCAGAGTTTCTGCCACTCTCCAGCTGTCACAGTCCTTCAAATCAGAACACAGCAGTACCCCAAAACCAGGAATTTGCAAACTTGTGCATCTTACTGACCAGCCATATAAAACAATGTTGCACATAGTGATGTTAGGCAGAATGAACAAATATTTGCAGGGCTGATTCCTCTGGCTGCTACACCTCCAGCATCACTTTTCTCACCAATAACACCACTTTTTATATCTTTGTCATTATAGTCCCTTAAAGTCCAGTTCAAAATCACACTCTTGCCAGATGTCGGTTAGTACCTCCTTCTTTGAAACCTGTGTAGATGAGATTAAAAAGCCAAAACTTAACTCATGAAAAAAGTTTAAACTTTCTTTCCTTTGTGAGAAGAGCTAGCGGGAGAAGGGCTCCTGGTCAACAACCTGTTCCAGCCTGTATTACTCTTTTCACTTTGTTCTCATACATTCAGGACACACAGCATTACTGTGCTGTGGAATTACAGAAGTGAAGATGCTACTTCAATGAAGTCATTCCCCAAAGCTATTTTTATTTAAAATTAAGCCTTTAAGATAGACGCAGACTTGAAAACAGCTGATCATCAATGCTTCAATACTCCATTTAACCACAACCAAAATGTCAAGTGCAAATGTGCTAAAGCATTTTCACAAGTTGCCTGGCTCCCTGCCAGCTCAGCTCTCACGGCCATTGCTGTGGGCAGCCTGTCCGTGTAGACTGTAGTCACGTGAAAGACCAAACCGCCTTTTTCAGACTCCGCATCTCCATGACAACCCTCCCGAACAAACCCCATGGAGAACCAAGAGCCCTTGCAATATCCAGACTTTGCCAGGAGTCAGATACATGGGACCTGGAGGTCCTAAAACTACTGCTTTGGAACAAGCTGCGAGATGTGACAAACAGAAAGTACCATAATTCCATCAATTTTACTGTTAAACAGCAACATTGACAGCGGCAATCTTACTGCGTGAAAAAAGGAGAAAGTATGAAAAAAAACCACAAAAACTGATTGCTGAGAACGTACTATTTTTTTTCCAACTCAAACAAAAGACAGCTTAAAAAGAATACAGAAATGATCATGAAACAAAAACATGACTTTTGAGTGATTCTATTTATGATGGCAAGATCTTGCTTTTTGGAAAGGCCTTATTTTTGCATCTTCCCAGTGCAGGGTTTAACTTTTCCCAGAATTCCTTTTCCAGAGCTATCCCTTTAAATTTGGCAGGAGCTTCACTTCTACAGACATTGTTTTACAGCTCTTGATCTTTCTTGGCTTGCTGGTAAGTACTGAAATTTGATTTTATTTACACTTTTGAATTCCCAAGGAAATAGTATATTTTCATTAAGTTTCATAATATAAGGAAGCATTTTCTGAAGCATTGCTGAATATTCCAATCAAAGGTAGCTCTAAGATTAGCCACCAGTCTTTACTGCAGTGCAACAGGCACTTCCCTCCAATGTAATTCATTGCATTTATTGTAACTATTTATATAAATTCTGCAGTCAGCTCTGAGTCCACATAAACCTAACGCTATTTAAATTAATTTTGTAAGACTTTTGTGAGACATTGCTGAATAATTTAGTCAAATCCAAGTTGATTATAAACAGTTCTTCTTTACAGTAAGTAAGCTTGAAATGTGTGGTTTTTAAGATGCAATCCGGTTTATCCTGTAAAATGTGATGGGAAATCCTATGTCTCCAATACCCATAACCCATTATATTTTAATCTGGGCAGGGATCTTTTCCTCCTGTGATTGGCCCACCATTATTGGGCCTAATGGATTGAGTTAAAGGCGGCAGTTTTCAAAATCCCACTCCTCTCTCTCTTTGAATGTTTCTACACTAAACACCACCTTGGCTTCTGAAATAATTGTTGATGATACAGTAAATTTGTTTTCCATCCCTTGTGTTTAAATCCCAGTCTTACAAACACTCATGCATTTGCTCAGTTTTATGCACGACTAAGTCTTTGGCATTAATGAGGC